TTGTTTAAATTGGTGAATGCTGCCATAATCCTTGCTTTGGTAAAATCTATGCGTATGCCAAATCAATCGGGCTTGGAGTTGAGGAAGTCGCATGTCTAGCCACACTCATGAGCTGTGATACAGCGAAAAATTTTCTGTGAAAATTTCTCGGACATTCAGGCCGGTAAATGTTGTTTAATACTGTTTATTATAAACAGAGCATTTACTTAAATATTTGTATCTATAAAAAAATATATATATATATATATATATATATATATATATATATATATATATATATATATATATATATATTATTCATTTCGCTAATCAACGATTGTCTCCTGATGAGATGTTGGCTGAAAGGGCTCTAGAGACTTTTAATATTAAAATCAATGGTTTCCTAGTTTTTTAAAACTATTTATAAATTTTGTACCTCCAAACATTTGTATATATATATATATATATATATATATATATATATATATATATATATATATATATATATAATAAAAAAAGAAATATGTTATAGTGGTTCCAACGAGAGAAAAGTATGTATATTAAAAAAAGAAAAAAAGAGTGCCGCAAACGTTTTTTGGTTGTAATATGGATTTATTTAGAAAAAATATTATGCTTTGTTTTACATAATTTTACGACACGTGTTTCTGGTCTCGCGACCGTCTTCAGGTAAAAGTGGAATTTCCACATATTAATAAAATAATTAATTTTTCCTCATGTTCAATGTTAAATATTCTCGATATGAGACATTTTCTGTTTGTGTGTTGGTAATCCGAATTTCCTTCTTGAATTGGCAATGAAGAGTTCTGCGCGAAGGGTCATGCACTAAGGTTGTCCAAGAATTAAGTATTTTCAGGGAAATCGCACATTTTTTTAGAAACTCACTTTTAATTCTCTTTACCTTGGTTAATATGTTTTAGAAGTGTTTTAATTTCTAGTTTTGTTTATAAATCCATAATTTTTCTTTTTAAAAAAAATTATTTTCGTTCCCTTTCAGAATTTTGTTAATATTGAATACATAATAACGTATCATTTTGCCATTCCACTCAACTTGGTTTCTTTGTATGGAGTTTCATAGAAAGAATGTTTTGTCGACAAAAGTTCAATGGTTTGGCTGGCGTAAAGAACTCCTGAAAGGCTTGAAAATGTATTTCACTACGCTAAGGATAGATTTGAAATTTGCATGGATACAGACGGAGCACATGTTGAAAATTTTCAGTAAAGTTTTGACGTAAGATTTATAAATAATAATGTTTTTTTTTTATTTACTGTGTGAGTGCCTACTAGATATTATTCTGGTTGTTGGTTTGTTCATTCTTCCTAATTAAGCCCAATAAACGACAGATAATAGTGAGGATTCGAAAACAAAAGAAACTAAAACGAGAAATCTGAAAGGAAAACAAGCAAACAATGGAAAAGTACAATAAAAAATTAAAAGAAAAACTTTGAAAAAAAAATTATCAACATTGAACGCTACGAGAATATTTTAAAGTACATTTGGCCAGATTCTTGACAGAGATAAGCAACATTTTCACAAACGCAGCTCCACCTCAACACCACTTACTGCTTGCTACTCCTTGCTTCATCTTTGCCGCCCATCTTCCTTCCACATTGTGTCGTCTATTTCATCTCAGCCTGAAGGAGAAAATTGCAATCCAGACAGACACTCTGCATTCCTGCAAGAAAAAAATTTGAAATTTTTAAACGTTTTCTTACAAAACAAAGAAGAAAAACATCTTTCTGAAGTGCTTGTGTACAGCTGTCGTTTGTTTAAGATATTCATGCTGTATAAGCAATTAAATAGGCAGACGTACAATTGAAGAAAAAACAAAATGGAAGAAAAGCATACAATTAAGAAAAATAACCACATAGAAATCCACCATTTTAGATTTCTACATTAATTTTTATTTTGATGTTTTCCCCATCCGTTATCTTTCTTAATCAAGGAATATCGAATTTTCCTTCGCAAAAATAAATGAAATCTCTCATTTGCCTGCAAATATATGTAAGCATAGTTTTACAGAGGTTCTTTTCTTTGTCGCAAATTAGTGCTCGCATTCTACGAAAGAATTCAAAGCTTTCGACTAAGAGTATACATTATGTATTACTTATATCTACGCTACATACACAAGAAAATAGGCCTTCTGCTTTCGCACGCGGCTCACAAGACAGTAAATAAGAAATAATTTAGGTTCAATATGATATCTGATTTGATTTAGTAATACTGAAGATGAAGGTGCATATAACATAAAGGTTATTAGCGCCGATAATGGAATCATCAATCCGGGTTCAAATTCCCGCCCAGTCATGAGAGTCCTTGCTGCTGACTCTACATTCAGCAGCAAGGACCCTGATCAGTTTTGAAAAGCGTGGGACCACGTCTTAATTGCTACTTCAAAAATGGAGTCAAAAACTATGAAAGCATAAAACTACATTTTTATATTACAAATCCCGGCAATACATTTTCATAGTAAAGAAAATTACCAGCAATATATTTTTGTAATCAAAATTACTAATGTTACAAAGAAAACTAAATTTCGGTATTAAATGACCCACAATAGAATTGATATGCCGTTAAACAAACAAATAAACGAACAGTTCATTCACAATAGTCAAACTGTGTTAGTAATGCTTGCATTAATACTTTATCATATTTCTTCTCTTACTGTGACGCATTTCCCTATTACAAATTACCTGTAAATCTATTCAGTAGTAAAACTATTTACATTATAATAACCAAATTTTGCCATAAAACTTCCCTTAATTCCTTATCATTGTTAATAATATTTTTCTTTGCATTCAATGTACAAGACACGGATTGGGTGCCGAAATATACCAATCAAATTTAAGATCGAAGACAACAGAAAAATTGTAATGGTTTTATTATATTTCTTAATTTGATGTGGAATATTTTATTTTATACGCAAAATAATGCAACAAGCTGAAAGAAATATGGAATAGCAGACAAGTGTGACGTCGTCCCCTGGTCGCAGCGCCAACTGTGACGTTCTATTCTGGTCTACCACGGCACCAACTGTGACGTCCCTAAACAGCACCAACAGCTCCGTTCGGGTGTCGCTGCTCCAAACGTGACGTCCGCCTGTCGCGTCAGTCGTGTTGTCTCGTCCTGTGACGACCAACTGGCTTGGTATTGGTCGCGGCACCCAAATGTGACGTTCTAACCTTTTGGTGATTCGGGTGGGAATCTGGTTAGATTTGATATCAGTCTCGTCGTTCCCAACTCGCTTTCAACGCCTGGTTACCAAGGTAACCGCATTGATCCCCAGTCTGCGTACCCATGTTGTGAATTGATCTTAGGCAGACGAGATCAATCAGTGGTTGGGGCCGTAATGCAAACCGAGTTCAACGGGGGTGGTACCACACAAATATGCATAAAAGAAAAGAAAATGAAACTCAAAAAGTTCAAAGTATCAAAGAAAAAGGTAACAAACTTTATGTCGATACATAGGACTGCATTTATCTCCCGACCCGTCCTATGGATTGTGACACGTCGTTTTCCGTTAGGCGAGTTTTAACGCTTCAAGTTGTTTGCTCTCTAAGAAATTGGTTTTTCGGTGTGTCTTCGTACGAAAGTCGAAAAAAACTTATTTCGGTGGTCTGGATCTAAGTCGCTCTTCAAAATAATTGTTCTTGGGTTGAAGAGGAGTCCGGAATTTGCGTGAATCTTGTTCAGCTATCTGCGAGGCGGCTTCAACTGGAGACTGACTCTTCGCTGCAACTCCAACTCAAACTGAAATTGGAACTGGAACTCCTGGAACTGATTTCTGCTCGTTGTGGCTTCCCTTATATGGACGCCGAACAAAACCGGGGTGGGTCTGTCGGCGTCGGGGTTTCCTCGATAATTCTAAATACATATCCACCTCTCTGGTTAGGAATTTCCACCTTTTTCCATTTTTGGGAACCTTTCCTCACTCCCACCTTCACACCATACTTCAGAGAGCGTGAACTTCCCTCCCCACTTCTTCGTAGCAGCTTCTCATACCTACACTCTGGATGGGCGGAGACAACCTCCTTCGTGCGTCACGTGATCACCACTTGACCAATGATGTCTCAGTCGGGCGTGGACGAATCCGCGGCTTTGTTTCGGAAAAAAAAATATCTTGCTTAACTAAAAAAAAATTATCCCTTCTTTTCCTTTTCTTCCTCTTAATCGCCGTTATTATTTCTCTAGCCGCAAACGGGACAATATGAACAATGGCGGCCATAACTCTTGTTCTACACGTGGTTTTCGCCAGGTATTTTATCGCTAATTATCCGAATGGGTGGTCTTCTTAACACGACCAACGTCGCCCCGAAAATACATTTCTAAATTCCCATTCATTTCCCTTCGGTACATATTTCTGATAACATAATTTTATTATCGCAGGCCAAGGATGTTCCGTCGAAGGACACTCGTGGGTGGCTTTTAATTTTTTCATATCTGTCCAAAGTCCTTTTAGTTGCCTGTTTTTCGTCACTTATCGAAATAACATTTTCATTTGAATTTTTCTTTGGCCAGTCGGTCTGTAGTTGATAATAAGATGCCTTCCCGTACCATTAGTTTGTTTTCATATCCTTAGATAACACAGCCGTCGCCAAAACATATCTGATTCTTTCTTTCTTTCCCTTTCTTTTTACTCAGAATTTCCCTGTCATTGTAATGACACTCTTTCGCCATTTGTTACTTATCAAAATATCCCTTATCCATTGCCTCTTAGCCGTGTGTGTTCTGCTTATCATCCACGATTCGGTCCTTAGCCTCTCCTTTTCTTCTTTTCTTTCTTTTCTTTTTCTGCCTCGTTAAATGGTGCCACACAAGAGAATGGGGAAGAATTAGAAAAGCAAAATCTTGACTACGTATCCCGGATTCAAATGCTGTCCTTAATGCAAAATTCCGTGATTAATGTTTCCATTTCCGTCATGAAGTGTGTAGACAATGTATACAATAACTATTGAAGTGAATATATATCTTTACGTATTTATCTAGTATTGTGGACTCTCACGTCGTACATAAACACGGGCCGTTGACACGCGCCTACCTGGGAACCTAAGCACGACTAGGAGGCGTAAGGAAGCGAGAACTCCCCGCTTGATCACCATCGCTGCGATACCTCTTCCTACGACGTATTAGGGTCAGGCCACTCAGTTCCTAGGAACCGACAGCCAGACAACTTCCACATATGATTTGATTATAGTGGTGAAGGTTTTTTGCAGACCCAACTACACTTTTTGAATATAGAGATTTGGTGCAGCATGTGCTAAAAAGGACCCTCCTGAGGTTTTGAATTCAGAGTTGATCTTCCCCTACACAAGTTGCCATCCAAGGCCATAGAACACAGTCTGTCCTGTTATCATAGAAGAGGATTCATATCTTTCCCAAGCACGAAAGTGAATATAACGGATTCGACTTGAATTCGAACTCGGCTCTCCGACTCCTCAACTCGAGCCGCTATCCATTACGGCACTACGCCTCCAGTTATCTAGTAACTTATGCTCTCCGACATTTCCTTAGATATGTTCATCATTATTTTGTAATTATAAATTTTAGTCCATCCACGCTTCCATACTGAAAGTTTAATTTCTACATTGCCATATGCTTAATTCGACTGTAATTGTTCCACTTTTCTCTTGCTGTTTTATGGACTTAAAAGCCAAGAAGTTAATCCTATATCGTAAACGTTACACTGCTGCTTATCAATTGTTGGAAGAAGAAGTGAAACAGATAAACGAGAACGGAGCCTTGCAGAATGAAATACCTGCTTTTTTTTTATTGAATTCATACGAAGTGCCTAATTTTGATTGAATTTATACGAAGACCCTAATTTTTATTGAATTCATACGAAGTCCCTAATTTTTATTGAATACATACGAAGTTCCTAATTTTTATTGAATTTATACGAAGTCCCTAATTTTGATTGAATTTATACGAAATGCCTAATTTTTATTGAATTCATACGAAGTGCCTAATTTTTATTGAATTCATACGAGGAGCCTAATTTTTATTGAATTCATAGGATGTGCCTAATTTTTATTGAATTTATACGAAGTTCCTAATTTTTATTGAATTCATACGAAGTTCCTAATTTTTATTGAATTCATAAGAGGAGCCTAATTTTTATTGAATTCATAGGATGTGCCTAATTTTTATTGAATTCATACGAAGTTCCTAATTTTTATTGAATTTATACGAAGTCCCTAATTTTTATTGAATTCATACGAAGTGCCTAATTTTTATTGAATTCATACGAAGTGCCTAATTTTTATTGAATTCATACGAAGTTCCTAATTTTATTGAATTCATACAAGTTCCTAATTTTATTGAATTTATACTAATTTTATTGAATTCATACGAAGTCCTAATTTTTTATTGAATTCCCTATTTTATTGAATTCATACCTGTTCCATGTTAAACGATGGGCGTCAGGCACAGAGCAAAACTCGATCTACGTTTTCGAACGAGACTTACAGCCTCTGTATCACTCGATTTGCTATTATTTATATAACAGGAATCAATTACGTTATTTATCTCTCATATCAAAGGTAATATCAATTGGCTTAAAATGCTAAAAATGGACAGGACGAAGATGGATTCTAGCATTTAATCAGATACCTAAAGGGTAATATATATATATATATATATATATATATATATATATATATATATATATAACATACAGTAAATCATATATACATATATGTATCATATGTATATATATATATATATATATATATATATATATATATATATATATATATATATATATATATATATATATATATATATATATATATATATATATATATATGTTGTGTACGTTATTTATACAAACTATTAATCTACATCAAACAGATTGCTTATTCTGACAATCACCCATTATCGACAGAGAAGCTATAAAGTCCACGGAAATCTATCTTTATCACCAATACTTCCGTCTCATTCAACAAGACAGACATACAGAGGATTAATAATAATTACATTTGCCATTCCCGATGTGCCCTTTTTTGTTCGCTTGCTTTTATCGTTCCGTCACTGGAGATTATATCAAATCAAGGGAATAACATTTGGACGTAGTTATTGTTTTGAACGACCGGTTTCTGTCAGAAAGAGAGCGCGTCGAAGAAATAGAGATTCAACCATCAAAGGTTCTCTATTGAAACATTTGGCCATTCACACAGGTCGAAAGTTCGGGGTCAATACGAAACATTCGTTATTTCTATCGATTAAATATTGAAAAGTGTTTTTATTTCTTTTATTCAGTTTTAAATGTTTTGGGCCGTTTGAAGCATTTTTGCCGCCGCATTTAGCCATCTATCGCCACGGTAGTTGTTGAAAAGTTCTCAACTCGTTCTACTTCCCAAACTATGACTAAATATTAGAATTATTTATTTATCTATCTATTCTTTGAAATGCTTCGTGGTGACTATTTTTTAGCATCCTCCTAGTATATATATATATATATATATATGTATTAAAGACATTTTTATGTTTGACATTCTTTTTATAGATACAAGTATTTAAGTAAATGCTCGGTTTATAATAAACAGTATTAAATAACATTTACCAGCCTGAATGTCCGAGAAATTTTCATAGAAAATATTCGTCCTTTGACAGGATTCGAACCTGCATCCTATGCGGAACCGTTATTTACGCAGACGTGCCGTAACCGACTCGGCCACAAAGGAGCGTTCGGTAGGCAAGGTCGAATTTACTGCTTATAAACTTCAATCTTCCATGAATCTCGGACATTCATAACTGCTCATGGCGTATCAAATGTAAACAAATGACGTCATACATTAAGAATTGGACGAAGTCCGACAATTTATTAAAGACATTTTTATGTTTAACATATTGTTGTCGGACCTTGTCCAATTCTTAATATATATATATATATATATATATATATATATATATATATATATATATATATATATAGTCGACTCTCTCGTCGAGTTCGACGTATAAGGGTCAAGCAGATCAGTTCCCAGGAAACCGACAGCCCGACACTGGCACATGAGATTCGATTACAGTGGTGAAGGCTTCGTGCAGGACCATCCACATTTTTTGAAGGGCCGAATACAGAGACCTGGTGCACTACGTGCCACAAGGTCCCCAAACAACCCCCCTCAGGTTTTGAATTCAGTGTTGTCCTTCTCCTAGACCAGTTGTCACCCAAGGCTATAGAACCCAGTCTGTCCTGCTATTTTACCCATAGCTGGAGGGAGAAGAAGCGGATTCACACCTTTCCCAAGGTCAATATATATATATATATATATATATATGTATTCCAATAACTTGGACAGATTTTAAATGTGAATTAAGTTTAAGCGTCTAATGATTTTTTCTTTTTCTTTCAGATTTAACAACTTAAGTCTTTGGCAATTTCAATCCTGGAAAGATTAGCAATCAAACAACGTGTTAAAATTATGGAAGCCTATTACCAAAATGGACGTTCAAACAGAAATTCATTTCACGCGCTTAGCGATATTTTGATCAAACAACTGAGAGTTCAATTGGAAAAATTATTTTAAATTCAAACAAACTGGTTAGTTGGCAGATGTGAAAACGCCACTGCATGCACGGTTACGCCATTCAGCTGAAAACATTGCTGCAGTGCACGAGAATGTGGCGGACAATCCAGACACCTCTATTCGTCATTGCATATAGGGATTGCACCTCTCCACAACAATGTTACATCGAATTTTGACAAAAGATTTGTCTCTACACGCTTACAAAATTCAATTGACACAAGAACTGAAACCCGCTTACCATTTGGAGAGCATTCCCTTTGTCAATTAGGTGCAAGAGCAAAGGCAAGCAGAAGAAAATATTTCGCAAAAACTTCTCTTTAGTGATGAAACCCATTTTCATCTTGGTGTATTCGTTAATAAGCAGAATTGTCGAATTTGGGCTGGTGAAAATCCAAAGAAGATTGTCGAAAAGCCACTGAATCTGCAAAAGGTCACTGTGCATTTTTTGCTAGCTGAATCATTGGGCTGTATTTCATCAAAAATGATGCCGGGAATTTCGTTACGGTGACAGGCGAGCGATACCGTGCCATGATAACCAACTTTTTATGGCCTGAATTGAATGCTATGGATGCCAAAAATTCGTTGTTCCAACAAGATAGTGCCACATGCCACACAGCCAATGCAACAATGTCTTTATTGAATGACAAGTTCCAGGATCTCATCATGTTTCGAAGGAGCGAAGTCAATTGGCTAGCACAATCGCCTTTAGATTTCATCATTTGGGGTCATCTCAAGTAAGGTCTATGCCAACAAGCCAACAACGATTCAACAGCAGAAGGATGAGATAATAAGGCATATTGGGGAAATCGAGAAGTAACTATGCAGAGACGTCAAAAAAAAATTTTGACTATCGAGTGGAGGTATGCCGCCGAAACCTTGCTGGATATTTGGCGATATTATTTTTCACATGTAATTGCCATGACTTAAATAAGATGATCCAATAGAGAAATAAAAAAATGATCCACCAATAACACTGATTTATTTACTGCTGACTTTGATCCCTCTTAATGAAACACCCTTTAGTTATGTCCGTAAATGATCCAACAACTTATCATGAACATTAAAAAACTAAATTTAGCACCTCTATGTAGGAGGCTTATTCATGAATGATCCAATATCAGTGTAAAAGAAAGTGACACAGTGGTGCTATTGATAGCGGCTCGGATTGAGAAATAGTAGCGTCGAGTTCGATTTCCACTCGAGTCGCTTACATTTATTTACGAGCTCTTTGGGAAAGGTATGAACCCATCTCTTTCCTCCCAGCTAAGGGTAAATAACATATTTGTTCCTATAGCCATCTCTAGATGAATGACAATTTGAAATTCAAACCAGCATGCAGGAAGTTGATCTCCCTCATAGTGTCTTGCCCCGCATTGTGCCCCTACGATTCCAGGGAATTTAGGTTTGAGTACCTCTTTACCGATTTTATCGAACCAATTTATTTTTTTAATTTTATTTTAATTTTTCCCGTCCACTGTAGGATCGTAGGGGCACCACATCTACAGTAAAAGTAGAAGTAGTATCTTGAGCAAGATAGCTTGACTGAGCCCAGCCTTCTCCAGGCCGGTTTT